CTGTCAGTTACTCCATTCAAGGGTAGTAAGATTCTAGATATGCTGATCCACATCGTAACAAAAACATTTTTTCAGCATGTTTCTCTAGTTCAGTGATATGTGTGTTTATTCTCTTCTCCAAATCTGAGAGTGAACTGACATTCAATGAAACACGTTCATACAGATATTTACGTACAGCGCTGAAGGAATAATCTTTTTGTAATTCATCCACCAAAGAGTAAGCCTCATCAAGAGAGATACAACTTGGCCGCTATTTCTGCAACCAGTACATAGTAAAAATAGTTATTTCTTAAAACTATACAAATGCAAAGATTAAATTAGGTAATCTATGAACTTTATTGTGCATAAAGAATTGCAATACCAGCATAAATGCATTTTACATATACCATCTAAGAATCTCTAATTTTGGCAACATTGTTAACATAGACTGTGATTTCCTCCTCTCCCATGTACTGCATTCAGAGATGATTACCTCATCTCAAAAAGACAGAAAACCAGAAATAGGCCAGGGAGGCCCATTATAGCATACACAGAGTAATTAAAAAGACTATAATTTTTTAGTTAGAAAAGGAGATAACTCAAGAAAAAAAGGGTTATTATGTTTCTAAAGAGACAAATAAAATCATGTGCAATTTAAGTTCTCGGAAAGGACAGTAATGCCTTCCATCTGTTGAGAACAGCCTTGAAAGCATAGGAAGAAACTCTGTTCCTTTATCGAGCAAAGAATTTAAACTAGCAGCTTAAATATTTGAGTAAATTGTTGAAACCAATGGTAGTCATTTGAAGTTAATTATCGAATCGGTCACTTTCCTGAAATAACTTAGTAAGTGCTAATACAGAGTAACCAATGTGTTTTTAAATCCTCCAGTCTAGCTGAAAGACAATGACATGTTCTATCTTAATAGCAGGAAGCAAGACAAATTATTACTTTAAAAAAAAAAAACAAAAGAAATGCAAACTATTAATGCACATATGTTCATTTTAGGACAAAATGGGAAAAGGTGAGCAAAACCAAATAGAAAATTAAAACATATTAATACTTTGTTTTGACATTAGCCCAAATTAAAATGTTTCCATTTTTATGTCAGATTGCTCCTCTTAAAAATATACCTTTTAAAGAAAAAGTTGAATTTTATAATTAAATGTTCCGCCCATCAAAATACTTTTTTTGTTTCTTTGTTCCTGTAAGAGAAAAATTTCCGGTTCAGAGCAAAAGAGCAATTTTTCTCATAGCTCTGTAGTTAAAAGCTTTGAGTGAATCAATACTTGCAAATAATGTAGGCAGGTCAAAAGGAATGTTCTGTTTCCTCCAAAAAGAATGTAATTTCAACGAATCACTGGTAACCACATTACATTAAATTCTTTAACAAAATAGAAAGGTATATTGAAAGATTTCCCTAGCAGTCTTATCAGTACAAGAAAAGAAAGCAAGCTCATTAAAAAGCAAAACTAGCTATTGCCGTTTTCATACTCATCAGAACTTTTCACCTCAGGGTTCAGGACTTTCTGTTGTGTTAGTAATGTTGTGGACTGATCAAATATTTTAAACAAAGCTTGATTCAGTGTCATCACTCAAGCATGCTTCCAACAATAGAAAATTGCTGTACAGCAGACAAAAATTTTCCTCTGTGGTTTAGCTTTGAGAAAAAGGGAAGTTAACAACAGAGAGGCTGCTCTCTTAAAGGTTTGCCATTTCTATGAACCTCTTAGTTTCCACTGCCCGAGGGTCTTGGAAATACAATCTATGCTCAAACTCAATTCTCAGTATTTACATTCACATGGCTTTGCTCAGGACCCGACTCCTGCATGTTCACTTCACCATACACATGGGTAGTTAAAATAACAAGTAGTCAGACTCACCAAATCTTGAGACCATAAGAATTCTTCAAAAGGCTTTTGCATTTTCTGCTGACATACAGGAGGAGTTCTTCTCACCAAAATACCTTAAAAAAACCTAAGATAACATATACTAGCAAATATTTAAACTTTAGATAACTAAAAGTGACAGTCAAAGCTATCACTATGGCATATATAGAACATGTTCAGTGTAATTTCTTCCAATAAACAGAAGAATACTACTTGTTCTTAGATGTCGAGAACTTCCATTTTCTTCTCAGTACCACCCTACAAAATATTTATACTATTATTATTTATGTGCTTCTAAAATACATACTGAAGAAAAAGTGAGCATCCAATTACCTGGCAAATCTGCTCTGTTCTTACCTATTCAGTTTTTGTTTAGAAGTTAGAAGAAATGTGGGAGTTGCAGATTAGCAGAAGCCTTACTGAAATCAGTCAACTGTTATCTGCTGAGTTCAGTACAAGTAAAAACTCAAACTTTGCACTGTTACATCTAAGCAGAAACCAAGTGTGAGAAGTACCAGTTTGAAAAAACTTATCTGTTTAGTAAATTGTGAAATTAAGAACCCCAAACAAAAATTATATGGCAACCATTCCTAAAAATGGTTTTGTTAAGATCACAGCTTTTGCGCAAATAACTCTATAGAATAAAAGTATACAAAGGAGTAATTCAGATTTCAGAGCCTGCTTTTAAATGAGGAGCAGGTTGTTTGTTCCCAAACAACAAGTTCTGGATTAAGCACCCAAAGAAATCATCCAAACAAAGTAAGAGATGGTACACTTAGTTAAACTTACTATAGTTAAGTTTGGCAAGAAAGAATTTTAGAAACTACTATAAATGTCTTCTTTGCACCCAATAAACATTTTATTATTTCGACTTAATTAACTACTGCACATCAAGACGTATTGTCACAGAATAAGGAGATAAAAAAATCTGGTGAAATGTAGCCATTTTTTCTTACTAGTGTAATGTATTACCACTAGCATACAGAACGGATCAAGTCAAAACAAAACAAATAACAACAGAATGCTGGTAGAAATCCTCTGCCACTGAACGTAATAGCACTGAAGTCAGTGAGGTTTTTGGGGCGTAACCGAGATCAAAGTTTGGCATAAAATCTGCCTACAATGTCAACTTTTTTCCCCTAAGGCTATTACAACTAATATATCACAGACTTTATTTCATTGGGTCAAGAGAAATATTCTCTATACCAAAATTACTGGTTTAATTTAGTCACTTCAACCTAAAAATGCAATTACTGAAGACTGAATATTGGGTAAATGCTACCGTAGAGCAGCATCCTCGGCCAGGCCAAGGAATTCCACAGGAAAGATCCCATGTCCTATTTAGAGAGGGAAGCAAAACAACAAGAAAGGAATGCAGCAACACAATTCTTCCAGCCATTGGTGTCAACCGAATATATGCACGAAGTATACTACTAGGTGGGGAAAGGAAATATAGTTACAAAAATTTAAGTGATCTCACTTTCCTGGAGTTAACAAGGGAGCGAAACACCATCCCAATAGTTTCCAGGCGCTTCTACCGAGCGGGCAGACCCGGCAGGGGGGTACCACCAGGGAACGCCTCAAGGAGAATAAAGCATGGGGGACATTTCACACGGGCTGGGAATGGACACCGGCTGGAAAGGGCGGATGTCTCCCCTGCAGGTAACGGGATGCGGTTTCTGTTCAGGTTTTTGTGACACAAAACGCGGAAAAGCCGGTTCGGGGCGGGAGGCCCTCGAACAAACACAAAATCCAACGTTAGAGACGACCCGTTAGGAGCCGCTCTCTGCCTCGGGCTGCTTCAAGCCCTCCTCCCCTACCGGGGGGTGACCCTGAGCCGCGGCCGCGG